ATTGTCCAGCAGATTAACAGCAAGACTGTTCGGATGATATTATAATTTTTCTTGATAATTTTTGCTAAGGTCTGTAATTTCTTCTTTCACTGATTTAATTTTGAAGTCATTCCTAATTGTAGTGTTGGATACAAACCAGGGTGCGCCAATAATTCTTCTCAGTGCCTTAGCCTGAAATCGTTCAAGAATTTTGATGTTGGATTTGCTCGAGGTCCCCCAAAGTTGAATTCCGTATGTCCAAATTGGTTTGATCATAACTTTATACAGTAAAATTTTGTTAGCCAATGATAATTTTGAATTCGTACCTAGTAGCCAATTGAGTTTACGAAGTTTTAATTCCATTTGCTGTCTCTTGCACTAGATATGAGATTTCCAATTTAATTTTTTGTCAAGAGTTAGACCTAAATATTTTACACTGTCTGCCTCCTTAAAGCTACATTATTAATGGTTACTGGAGGATTGTACCCTGTTCTCAGAGTAAAAACAATATGTTTGGACTTGTTTTCGTTGACTTTTATCCTCCACTTTTTAAGCTAATATTGGAGCTCAGTCAAGGCAGCTTGCAGATTAATGGAAGCTACATGAGGGTCCACATGACTCGACAACAGTGCGGTGTCATCAGCAAATGTGACGTTGGGGACCATAGGGATGTCTGCTGTATATATCAAATATAGCAAGGGTCCAAGGACACTCCCCTGAGGTACTCCAGACTGTATCGGCTTCAGATCAGATAACGAATTTTCAAATTTTATTTGAAAAGATTGATTGGCTTGATATGATTTTAGAAGGTTATACGTTTAGTGAGGGAGAGACGTTTTGAGTTTAAACAGAAGTCTGACATGCCACACCTTGTCAAACGCCTGTTGAACATCCAAAAATGCAGCAGAACAGTACTGTTTTTTCTCAAATGTGTTTTTAGCGAATTTCCCTATAGGGAAGTAGGTAGCTATTACCGTAGGTGGCATGGTAAGACCTAGGCCCGGGACCGATTTACTTTTTCATTTTGATGTCCCCAGAGGCCAAAAACACCATTCGTTCAAATTTTTATACATGTGTATATATATATATATATATATATATATATATATATATATATATATATTCAGATTCAGATTCTTTATTTGTCACAATACATTTTCCTCCCCAGCACAGCTGGTAAAACAGGTGACATGTCAACATCTTAAAAACTAAAAGCAAAATATACATGATAAAATTGTTATGTTGGCAAAAACTTAATCAAATGGCTTGATTTTATATACATATTTACATCATATTACAAAGTGTCACATAAGAAATCATTTACACAATAGTATACTTTGTTTAGCAGCAGGGATTGAACTTCTTTCTTAAACTTGACAATTAGCCTAAATGTTTTGCGTGCATGAATTAATTATAAAGATTTAAATGTTTACTTAACCTATATTTTTCGGATTCCTCAAGAGAGAGTGATTGTTAGGTTAGGTTAGGTGTTTGTTTGTGTGTGAATTTGTTAGATTGCAGTTTTGGTAGTGGTAGGTCTAAGTTAGCCTCTAAGGTTGACTTAGGCATACTCTTATTAACAGATAAGTTATTAATTTAACTTTTTCAAAGGCAATAACTTAGACCTAAACTCCACTGAAAGGCCCAACTAACTTAATCAAAATAAACCTAGACCTACCACTACCAAAACTCCAATCTAACAAATTCACACACAAACGCAACTCAACCTAACATTAACAATCACTCTTTCTTGAGGAATCCGAAAAAGATAGGTTAAGTGAACATTTAAAACTTCATAAATAATTCATGCACGCAAAATATTTATTGTTAATATCTAATAACAAATAATCAGCTTCAGCTCACTCACAACACTTTAATTTTCATAATCATAAAACACCTTTTCAAGCAGCTCAAGTCAAAAATAAACATAAACAAACAGTAAAGAATAAACACCTTAAAATTACAATGCACAGTTCGCAACTGCAAACTGCAACTGTTGAAACGAAACAACTATCTAAACATGTCCAATTAAAGATACTAGAGGTCGTCCAGTGGTCGAAACTCGACCAAAAATATGTAATGTACAGACTTCTTTATTTTCATTCCACACTTTGAATAGAACATGTGATTGGAGTTTCTTCTATTTGTTTTGATTTCCTGTTTATATTTCGTTGCTATTTCGTCACCAGCATGGCAACTCATAATATCCATGTTAAATTTTTCAAAATTTTAAATTCATTTTTTGTGCTTATTTTTGAGCCTATTTTAATTTATAAAGGGATTCTGCACACCTACAGGAAAATAGCTTTCTAACAGTATGCGTAGATTTTCCCTACGATGCACACGAGCTGAGAAAAAAGGTTTTAAAGAAACATGCTTGCCTATTAATATATAGATAGATACAGTGAAGCTATTACACAAATAGCTGTTATCCTGTGCATGTGGAAGCTAAAGTGCTCGTGGGTACAGAACGTCGAGTGATTGATGTCTAACGCTCCTTTCACACTATACGTTTTCGCTCGTGCGGTTATTAGTCGTATTTGTTGTATCCCATTGGAGCTTATAGCCCCTTTCACATTATACGATTACCAACCGTGTACGATTTTCACCCGCGTAGCGACCGTAGGTGCACACGGTTGGTATCCGACTCCCGCACGAGTAATAGTCGTGTCTACTGCTAGTGGACCATGTGACCATATGGCCCTTTTCACACTACACGGTTGTTAGTCGTGCGGGAGCCCTCCCCGAGTGCAGTTTGCAGCGTTTTTGCTATATAGTTTTTATTTCGTTTTTCAGTTTAATTGTTTGGTTATTGAGTTTAATTACCTGTGCGCACTGTATAGTATTATTCAGTTGTTGTAATTAGTTTCAGTTGTCTTAATATAGTCACAGCGAGCATTTCAACTGGTTGAATGCAGTTTCTGAACGTCGTATTATTTCTTTGAAGATCACTTTTCAACTTATTGTGCAATTCGTCGAACGATTCTTTCAACATACGAAAATAGTTAAAAAAAACTTGGCTTCATCGTTCCTCAAATCTTCGAATAATATATTAAACACACCAACTTCCTCACGTATTACATTTATGGGATGTACCCAGTGCAGACGGCCGCGTTTATTTCTTTTCCTGTGTCTGTAAATAATTAGCGCAGCAATAATTTGCTCCCGATCCATACTCCACAAAACATTCCACTAAAGTATCAATGAACTCTGTACTGGTGGAGTGGGGGGTTTCGATACCCGTACGATTACAAATCGTATAGTGTGAAAGCAACAGAGCCACGACCGCCTGCCCGCACGATTAACACTCGTGCGAGCGAAAACGTATAGTGTGAAAGGAGCGTTAGTGGCTAGCAGACAATTTTACAACTAACTATTAACTAAACTATGGAAAATCAGGAAATCAGCTATTTCCCCGTCCTTGCTCGCGCACTCGGCGCTCGCCTTTGCCCTTTGCCCTAGCATGTCAACAGCTGACTGCTGTAAAAATTGGATGATGCGTACAACTTTCCATAGCGTAATATTGTTTGATTCGTTGTGCTATTGTCCACAAAGTTGATCTATGTGGTACTAAATACTACTCCTGCCATCGCTCATTAAGTTTAATAAAAACTACGTTGATGTCGGTTTTATGACAATGTGTGTTTTAAGGACGAAATGTACGTTTAAATTTATTTTTTCAGGGTTCAAGGGGGGTCTTTAGCCTCTGTAGCCCCCCATCCCTTGGCCCTTGGAACCGCCACTGGCTGTGGACACACTGCCAGCGGGTAGCGGGGCATTGTGCTTTATGGATATGAACACACATACCGGCGAAACAGCCGGACCTGCCCCTGCCTCCACTCCTCGGTCGTAGTAAATGGAGCACGGGTCTAGGTCTTACAATAGACTAAGGAGATAGTCTATGGTCTTACTTACAGTAATTAATAGCCTTTTCCCTATTAGAGAATTTGTTAAAAATATATTTATTCGCCTATCTCAATAGTTTTCATGGGTATCAGGCCTAGATAGGTCAAGGTTAGAGATATACACGGTTTAACGATCAACTACTTTGCGAAGTTCCAACATGGAGGAGGAAATGGCTTCTGGGCCTTGGCAGACAGACAGAAATTGATATAAGACTTGTTTCGGCTTCTTTAATGTATAAAACGTAAACGCGGAAGCTTCCTTTGACAGTCTATATATTCTATTTGTCTATAGTTTTATCCATTTGGTTTAACTTGAGTAAAATTCCTAAAGAATGTGTGAAGCCGAAGTTATCGTCCGTCTATTGTTATTATAGCTCAATGTTGTTTTAGCGAATTTCCCATATAGGGAATAAGCTATTACCGTAGTACTCATGGTAAGACCTGGACCCGGGACCGATTTATTTTTTCGTTTTGAGGTCCCTAGAGGCCAAAAACACCATCCGTTCAAATTCATATATATGAACGGGGGTTTATGGGGGGTTTTATGGGGTAAAAATAGGTTTTTCCCATTTTTGACCCTAAAAACACATAATTTTACAATTTCTTTTCAAACCATTTTGTAGAGCGTAAAAAAACAAATAATTTTGTATATTGAAGCGTTATTGTGCGCCTAATGGTTACGGAGAAAATTCCAAAAAACTGTAAATTTAAAATCCCTATGTTATTCTTATAGAGAATAAGTCAACTGTTGTAGTTTGCTTGTTTATGAACATATTTTGATTGAATTTGGAAAATACATTCATTTCTTACTAAACTAACATTAAAAAAACACCTTTTTACCCTCCATGTTGCAGCAAACCTAAGTACTCGTTAAACTAATTCTATTTAAATAGGGAATAAATATGATATTTTTAAGGGGACATTTTAGTGTAAATCCTATCAGGCTAATGGAAATTCGCTTAGTCTGCAGGTTTGCTGCAGCGGGGGGTATTTTTTTTTTCTTGAATGGACTGGACTGGTTGTTAGTTCGGTTCGGTCCGGGTCCGGTATGGAGATAGACTAACTTCAATCAACTTGAACTTGACTTGACAGTGACACTAGACCAGAGGCAGTCAGAGTCAGACAGAAAACGAAAACACTAAAATAATCTGTGTTCTGTGATGTCGGTGAACAAAACGTCGTTTCAGAAAGTTTTATTAATGGAATTATTTCGTATGTTAATGTGGATATCGAGGTCGAAACGGTGCTGAAGTTTTTTGTTTATTTTGACAGTTTTCTCGAATACCTACTGCTATTCGTGTTACCATATCCACATCTTAAGTGCACTAAATTTTTCGTTGCCCCTCCTCCCCATCCAATTATTTTAGTCTACCGCTGGGTTATGTTATAAAACTATATACAGGCTTGCTGTAGTTGTGTACATTTTGTGTATTATGTGCGGTGGTAGATAGCATAGGAATATCTTCAACCATTGCATCAATATCAGCGATAGATAATGGGTAAGTTATCCCGGTTTAGTTTTAACCTCTTTTCCTCCATTGATTTTTAAGTTAGGGTCGGCCTAGGCCTGCAGCATCCTAGGCCAACAATGCTTTTCTATTAGGTATCAATAAAATTTTACGGTTTCGGATTGTAGTAATCAACAGTCTTGAGATGTATAGGGTACAGTTGCTTAACTGGGAAACAGTTTCTTAATATCGATTGAAACTATTGATTCGATTAGTAAACCTTCATGCGATTTCTTCACCATTCAGCAAGTTTGGTTGGTTAGGTTATGGGTAATTATTCCCTAGGTGCCTCCAGACGAATTTCAATTTTGATATCTTACCGTACTTTATAGTTTTTTACCTCCTGAATCCAAATATATACCATTATTTTTCACAGCTGATGAATATTTCTCAAGAAATCGCCGTGTAATAATTTACAACATTACAATAAACAAGGTAGGATGGATGACATTTACAAGTGGAATGAACTATGGGCTCTGATTGTTTTCAATCATAGTCAAGCAAATGGAAGGGACAACTTTATTAGCTAACTCTGATTCTGCAATACGAAAATCACCTGATTTAGACTTTTTTAAATCACTTTTTAATTAAGTTACCGTAATCACTTTTCACTTTCTGAGACCAATAAGTTAACATATTTAATAAAATGTAGCCTACTATTGTTACCAGTAGGCCTACATTTTATTTTTTTATTAATGATTTCGCAGAGGATACCCGTCCGGTAACAGGACGTGGATTAGGCGTCCGGCAGTTACTGTCATAACCTAACCTAACCAACCAAACTTGCTGATAATGAAAAAAATCAAATGATATGAATGATGAATATGATGAATTCATAACATAAAATTATAAATGCCAAAAATTCTAACAAAAGATGTACAGTTAAGAAGAAATTACATTCAAAGCAAAATCTGTGACAAAAAGTTAAAGAAACCGATGGGTTTCGAACCAGGGACCTCTTGCATATCAGCCGAGCACTCTATCCATTACACCACGAACAACGCTGGCCGAACATCGTATTGTTGTGGTAATGGCGTTCCGGGACCCCAGGACCCCACAACCAGGTGACGTCACTATTGGACGCCTAATGCACGTCTGGTTACCGGACGCGTATCCTCTGTGTAATGATTTATTGATTTAAGTATATTTCGCCGTTTATAAATTACATAATAAAATGGTGCTATTCTAATATAACCTAACCTAACCAAACCTCTAGAATGTAAGCAAACTCCTTTTGATGTCAGAAAAGGCATGTCAGGGTTGTAGGTCATGCTTTATGTGAATTAGTGACTACATTTAGTCCTTTGAAGGTAGGTTGGATTAGGTAAGTTAATGTTTAGGTTATAATGTATCGAGTTGTTAGTTTATGTCGCCTGCAGACTGTTTTTGTAAAATCAAAATCCAGATAAACACTTCAAATTACTATTTAAAAAATGCAAGCATTTTTGAAAAAGTAATTTGAAGTGTTTTTCTTAGGATTTTGATTTTACAAAAACAGTCTGCAGGCGACATAAACTAACAACTCGATACATTATAACCTAAACTTTACCTTCCTAATCTAATCTAACTTCAAAATACTTAATGCAGTCACCAATTCGCATAAAGCACGACCTACCACCCTGACATGCCTAAATAAGAACAGCAATTTTTGTTTTGAGTTCTAGTTGTTGTGAAGTAAAATGAAGTTTAAAAGTTGTTACTTCCAGTTGCTTGTCGTGTGGTTGAAAACAGTCAGCTGTAGGCTTAGTTAACCCACAATTCATTCCACTTGTAAATGTTATCCATCCCACCTTGTTTATTGGAATGTTGTATATTATTACGGCGATATCTTGAGAAATATTCATCAGCGGTGAAAACTAATGGTATATTTGGATTCAGGAGGTAAAAAATTATAAAATAAGATATCAAAATTAAAAATTTTTTTGGAGGCACCTATACGGAATAAATACCAGGTTATGTTATGATAGTTTAATTTTATAATAGGCCTAGATAAGTATATTTAAAAATATCGATTATTAATCAATATTTTCAATTCAATAGTTTCAATTGATATTAGCATTTAACCCAGTTAAGAAACTGTACCCGAGACGTATTTTAAACACAATGTATATAAAAATTTACTCGCATGTAAAAGAAAATAAGGCCCTAAAGTTTAACCCCTGCTACCTATTAACTTAGCTTTACCCAACTTAGACCGACTTTTGTTTGTAACATTTGAAATAGGCCTAAGTGGATAGACTTCTGCAGAACTATCTGTACGATTATCAGATGAATTTTGACAGTTATCTCACGCTGCAGAGGCGCTGATACAGTCTGTTTACACAGTATAATTTTGCAAATACTTAACTGAAATTATGATTTTGCCACGGCTGATGTCATAATTCAACAATTCAACTATGATTTTGTTACCGCTTTCAGTAATTTCTAGCTTAGTATGATCCATTTTGTTCCACTTTTTGTTTGAATGTATAGACTTTCGTCTTTGTTTAAATTAAATCCCGGGTTTCCTTTCTAATATTTGTTTTTATATAAGTTTTTGTTTCTTCTTTTAATTTCTAGTAGTTGCAGGTAATTGCATCGAACAAATTTCCAACACCTACAGTACCGTACTTTGTTTCTAGCCTTAAAATAATTTACATGAACTCTTCCCCCGATCACAGATTGACAGTCTATCCGGGGGAATAATTCCATGTAATGTATTGTTTTATTGTACTGTTTAATTTTTTGAATAAAATTGATTTGATTTGAATACGATCCTATAACTTAAAAAACTTAGCCTAGGGTGTACTCGGTTCGATATATCGATTGTTATAATTTTTTTCTTAAACCATTGATTTGTTTACATTTTTATTGATATTCAGCTTAATCAATAATACCCCTGCCGTAGCACACCTGCCGACTAAGCGAATTTTGATTTCTCTGAATTGATTTTCAATTAAGAAATCTAAGTTATAACTTAGAACCCAACTGATTCTTATGCAAAATTCTGGGCAATATAGCTGGGTTCATTTTCTTAACAAACTGTGGAGTTTACTGAAATAACATTAGGTTAAACGAGTACCTACCTAGGTTTGCTGCTACAAGGAAACTAATAAAGTGTGTTTTTTAGTAACTTAATAATAATTTTTAATAGGCTACTTTTTTTAATAGGCCTAGCCTAAGTTAGCTTGGTATAAAATAAATAAATTTGCCAAGTTTGATCAAAATATATCCATACCTACGAAAACAAACTATGGCCTACAACATTTTACAATATTCTCCATATGTAAGAATAACTTAATATGAGAGTTTTAAATTTAAAATGGTTTAAATTTTCTCCGTTACCAATAAGTTAACCGTACCCTACAAAATTAACACTTTGATAAATTATTTGTTTTTTAAGGTCTTCACTAAGGTCTCTGAGAGAGAAATTGTGAAACTTTGTGTTTTGAGGGTCAAAAGTGAGAAAAACCAATTTTTTACTCCATAAAACCCCCCGTAAAACCCCGTTTCCACGGGTTAATCATGCTGGTTCACGAACTCATTCAATTTCATCCCGCCTTACGGCCTTACACCTTTAAACCAAATTTCATCAAAATCGGAGAAGAAATTACTGTACTCAAGTTATCGCGTTTACGACGTACCTATAAATTAAAAATAGAATAAAATAAAAAATAGAATAAAAATAAAATAAAAATAAAATAAATAAAAAAATATGGTAGGTAACTTAAATATAGGGCTATATAGCCTATATACGGTAGGTATATAAAAATTTGAACGAATACTGTAGGTAGTGTTTTTGGCCTCTGGGGACATCAAAATGAAAAAGTAAAATCGGTCCTGGGCCTAATTTAATTATACGATTTTTTTCTCCTGTAAAACTGACCTGTTAATTGCCAACATATTAATTTTCAGACTTATGTTGCTCGTGCATCGACCTTTGCTATTTTATAATACAGCTTGCCGTAGCAAACTTGCATACTAAGTTAAGCTAATTTTAATTTAATTGGATTTACTACCTATACTAAAACATTTCCATAAAAACTCATATTTAGGCTAAGTTATCTTAACTTAAATGTCAATAATAGGTTGCCTGGCATATATCGTTAATATTAGGATAGGTACGGTAGCGTTGTCACAGAATGTGTGTAGAACTAGTAGGCCTATGCCTATAGGCTATCGTTAGGCTATAATATTTATATTATATAGGTAGGCTACACACTAAGACACCTTTCAATTGACCAGTCCACTATCTCATATTGCAATCCAAAAGGAATTAACGATTCACTACATTGAAAACATCCTTGATCAACAACTGGTGCATTAAAACATCTACAAAACTGCAGAGAGAATATACTATAGGCCTACTCCAATCCATAATTGAAATCCTGGAAGAACAACCAAATTCAGAATTTGCATAAAAGTTGTCAAATAATTTCCGCATCCATAAAAATACTCTATATCAAAAGTTAAAAGACAAAAACGGATAATTGCATGATTATAAAGATTTCAAATAGGAATATCATCTATTTTACCTAGCCTAAATTGCGGAGCCAAGAAATGCTTCAAGTTATTACAAAGAAACTTTGATATTTCGTAACATGAATCGAACTAACTTACTGTAGGCTTAAATATCTATATACGTGTGATACCTGTCAGAAATGTAAGATTAGTACCGCTAACCAACTGCTGATGGCCACAGCAAAAGGAGTGCTAGTGCCTATGTGTAGGAAATAAAGAACAACTAGCCTTTGATATAATCGGACCTCTTTCTACCAGTGTGTCGAGTGTTAAATACATTCTTATAGCCATCCATATATTCATAAAATTTTTAAAATTATGTCCTATGAAAAATACAATATTAAACAAGTTAAATTATTCACATTACTCTTTCCAAATTACGGATAGGTATCCAAAAAGAATCCAGTTGGATAATGGAATCCAATTTAAGAGTGGAGAGTATATGATGGAACAGAATAATATTGAATAAATCTTCAATCCAGTGTACCACC